TAATGTGCGTGGCCCCAGATCCACCATAGCGAGGGTCCAAGGCAAAGCACCCGCTTGCAACGGAAGTTGCGCGAAACTGAGGCCAAACCCCTCACAATGGGACTGTAGCTGCATGCTACGCCAACGCTCATCATAAGCTTGCAGTATTGGCGAGACCACCTGCCTCCTATACTGCCGGACAAGCTGCTTTCGAAACGCGGGATCGCGCTTGGCTATCAACACCGATGGTGCGAAGGCTGGATGCTCTGTGATTGGCCAAATCCATCCAAAGGGATGCAATCGTTCCATGTGTTGGCAGATCACAGAAACCCATGTTGGCAGAGTCACCTGAGTAGCAGCTTGCAGCATGACAGCTGCAGGATGGTCCTCCGGCAGACACTGCATTCTGGCAAGTGTCGTAATGGCAAAATCCAAGACACGAGATCCAAGACGTGCTGTCCAGCCCAGTTGTGTACAGGGCAAAGCGCTTCTCATACTAGTGCAAGGACTACAACCCAAGATCATCAATGCCCATTTATGTTGAACAGAATTCAAAACAGACTCAAAACCAGAAGCTAAAACCAAAAAAGGGGCTCGATACGTGATAATGGACTCAATGCGGGACGGAACCTCGTCTGCAATGACCGGGAGAGGAACACCGGCGCAAGAAGCTGCAGCACAGAATTCCGAAAGAGCGCTGTTTGCGTGGGCAACCACTGCCTGTAGCATGGGCTCCATGGTGAGTTGGTCATCCAGAAGGAATCCCAAGCAGCTATGTGCCGAAGAAACATCACAACCCACTACGTCAAAGGAAGGCGGCGGGCTGCCGTACATTGCCATGACTGTAGTCTTGCCAGGTTTGCGATTTATCCTGCTTCCGGATGACGTTGCAAACGTCTCAACTGCTGAGGTCTGGTTATCTCCGATGACTGCGGCAAGAGCCCCCACACTAGGACACGGCATCGTGGTGTCATCAATATACTGTATAGGCCCTAAGGGAAAATGGCCTAAACAGTCAAGAACCAAAATACTTTCAGCTAGTTTAGGGAACCGAGACAACTG